AGAGTTGTTATTGTCTTTTAAGTAACGATCTAAAGATTCTTTTAGTGTATGAGGCTTGTGATTATCCTTAAAACAGTAGAAAGCATTGTGCAGTGATAATCAAGGCTGAGAGTTTTGCTGAAGAGCTGGATGTTGTACTTTTTGCCCTGCTGGAAATACTCTACCTCCATCTCTACAGCCACAAAGCAACACAGCTCAAGGGAGTTGTGATGGAACCATAGATGGAAGCAGAGAGTTTTTCCTAAAGGACATTCTGGTGAAATGGAATGACTCTCATAGCTTTATGTGTAGATTTTATTTTTTGTAGGCCTTCATATGAGGGAGAAAATGAACATCACTTATATATGGCTGAAGTGCCAGAAGGAAAGGGTTAAGCTTAATAGTGTGTCAGATAGATTATATCTTCTGGCTAAAGGCTTACAACAAAAACCAAAGTACTGTCTCTAACCCTCACCATGAGAATCTGAAGAATGTGAAGAATGTTTCGGCTTAATTTTCTTATAACCCATCCTGGGCTAAACCAAGAATATTTCCCTAGTGACAGTTTCTGCACTTTTTTTCTTTAAACCAAATTTCTTCTTATAAGATTTTAGGTGGTTGGGGTTTGTTTTTCCTTTTGATCTACTTTAAAAGGCAAAGGCTGATATTTAAAGTTTCCATAGACATTTTGCTTCTATAACTTTTGGCAAACTTCAAACTCCTGTTAGTTTGAACTAACAGGAACTTTTTAAAGAATAACTTCAATGTTATTCCAGGACTTTATCAATTGGAAATAAATCAGCTAGCCCATAGGTCTATCATAAAATTCCTGTAAAGAAAACCAGAAAAAAAAAATTGTCTGGGTACCTGTGGCTCAGGTGTGTAATCCTAGCTACTCAGGAGGTTGAGAGCTGAAGATCCGGGTTTGAAGCCAGACAAGACAGACAAATTCATGCGACTTTTATCTCCAATTTTACAAGCAAAAAGCCCGAAGTGGAGATGCATCTCAATTAGTAGAGTGCCTGCCAGTCTTAAGCAGAAAAGCCAAGTAAAAGTTCAAGGACCTATGTTTGAGCCTCAATACTGACCACACACACAAACACACAAACACACACACACACAATCAGAAAATTTTAAATTGAATGGTGTGATTAGAGATTCTGATGAAAAATTGCAAGGTGAGTAGTCATTATCATTTGATGTCAATGTGGGATTGTGCTTCTAATGACATACTATGGTTTGAATAACAAACCTCACCCTAGTTAATATTTTATTGATGATGTAGGTAGATATATTTATTTACCTCACAGAAAATGTGTTTCTTGTGTGTGTGTGTGTGTGTGTGTGTGTGTGTGTGTGTGTGTGTGTGTGTGTTGGTTGTGGCACTTAAACTGAGTTACTGAGTTATATCACTCAAGGCTAGCACTCTACCATTTTGAGCCACAGCTTCACTTCCAGTTTTCTCATAGTAAATTAGAGATAATAATCTCATAGACTTTCCTGCCTGGGCTGGCTTTGAATCATGACCTCAGATATCAACCTCCTAAGTAGCTAGGATTATAGGCATGAGCCACTAGTACTTGTGAGAAGATGTATTTCTTTTGGCTCTTACAGTGTTCATATTCCAACCCACTCCCTGCAGAAACAGTGGCTTACTACAGTCATAGACTAAGTCCAACTCTTCTACACACACACACACACACACACACACACACACATCTCCCAATCAAGGATAGTTGCTGCCACATATTTTGGAACACATATTCAAATGCTCTCAATAAACTTAATCCTAATCTAAATAAGATTTAACACAGGAACCATACCTACAATCACATATACACACACACACACACACACACACACACACTCTCTCTCTCTCTCTCTCTCTGTCTGCTACTTATTATATGTATCTGACTTTTAAACCATGCAATAAAACATTTTATCAGAGGTGACCGACCATCAGAGGCAACTCCAATGATCATGCTCTTTCTACATAGTCCTTCAATCATACTTATTTTGAGATCTGTATTTTGAAAACAGAATGGGCATTGTAGAGAATCCTGGAGAACACCAAAGAAGTATCTGATGACTATGCTAAAAATGGTTAAAGACACTGGAAAAGCAGAGATAGCTTCTGTTTTCCTAGAAAGAAGGGTTTGGCTGCTGCAGTTTGGGTGGTAGCAGGCAAAGGAAAGCAGGCTAGAAAAGTTATCTCCATATGTGGTTGCAGAATAAGCACTATTTTCTAGACAAGAGATTAAAGCAGGCCAGGCAACTGGTGACTAATGCCTCTAATCCTAGCTACTTGGGAGGCTGAGATCTGAGGATCCAGGTTCAAAGCCAGCCGAGGCAAGGAAACGTCCATGAGACTCTTATCTCGAATTAACCACTCAAAAAACCAGAAGTGGCACTGTGGCTCAAGTGGTAGAGTGCTCATCTTGAGCTGAAGAGCTGAAGGACAGTGCTTGGGCCCAGAGTTCAATCCCCACTACTGACGAGAGAGAGAGAGAGAGAGAGAGAGAGAGAGAGACTAAAGCAGATGATGAGCTCTGCCACATAGAGTTCACCTACTTTTCACTTCAGAAAGCACACTGTCACCTATAAAGAAAATGAGGCAAGAGATGAATCCCTGCCTTGAGATAGATGGAAGGCAACTAGATTTGAGAGAAACCTGAAGTTAGAAATAGTACCTGTGACTGGAACTTACTGCAAGAGTATAGGACAAAGAGATAGGGCCTAATTCACAGGCCACATTCTAATTGATGAGAAAGTTTAAGGCTTTCACTTTAAGCAAAAGCCAGAGAGGTCATGTAGCTCTCCTCTTCTGATCCAGTGAATTACTTGAAGCTGCTCTGTGGTGGGGCAGAGTGGTGGGGGCAGAGGAAAGAGAATACAAGAGATGTGGTGGGTTTTTTTTTTTAAGTCTAACAATGTGCCTTGGGAGACAGGCTGATACACTTAAATCACTGAGTGAATAACACAGCCTCCAGAAAATTCTTAGACCCAGACAATGCTAGTATCTGACACTTTGATTGAGTTTCCACTAAAGAATAGAGACGGGAGGGTGGAGTGGTCAGGGAAAGCTCCATCCACAAGAGGAAATCTTGAGCGGGACCTTGAAAACAGTATCTTTTTAGCAAAGAAAAGAGAAACATCGTGTTTTCCTTTCAGATCTTCCAGAGTGTGGGAAATGCAAAACAGCACTCTTTTTTTCAAAAGGAGTTCAGAAGAAAAGGGGTAAACTTCAAGTTCAATAGACAGGATTTCTGCTGCTTCAAAACAACTGCTTATTTTTTCTTGACGTCTTACAACCTGTACATTCTTTATATAGTTAATATTTGTTAAAGACTTATGGCATACCCATCAGTCTCCTGTGAAAAAATGACGATCTGTTTGACTTAATTAAGTCATACTGAAAGCCCTCTGCAAATCTGCTATTACTACTCAATGCCAGCAGCTCACACCTATCATCCTAGCTATTTAGGAAGCTCAGATCTGGAGGATCTGGGTTTGAAGCCAGCCTAAAAAAGAAGTTTGTGTCTTCTGTCTTCAAAGTAACCAGCAAAAGCTGGGCTGTAGGTATGGCATGAGTGGTAGAATGCCAAAAGAGCAGGCAGACTTAAACCTGGTACCAAAAAAAGGCATTATTGTGTTATTATGGGTTTTTTTTTCAGCTGAAGTTCATCCACACAACAGAGCCAAGTCCAGCCAAGACAGCATTCAGTGGCTTTTTCCACTGCACCTCTTTCATTCTTATCTCCTTTGCCATTTATAGGGCCATCTAAAAATAAGCATTTTGTCCAACTGAAGTAATACTTTTTCTATGCATCACATCTTAATTTATATCAAACAGAAACCAGTCTTTTCCCCCAAAGATTACAAAACATAGAAATGCAATAAGAAGTAGGCTATGTATTGTGTGAAGGATATGGGTTTGGTAGAACTCAAACTGCAATTCTGGCACAAACCTGGATCAGAGCTGTAGAACTGGATGGAATGTCAGTGTTCACATTATACTTAAAGACTGCTGGTGCACAGTGGACTTCACAATTGTCTGGCCTTTGGTGACGCTGGGAAGAATGCCAGTACTTGGACCAGAACTTGGGCATCTTCTTTCTTATCCTGAGACATGCCACATTTTCTCAGCATCAGCCTTATATGCCCTGCTTGGTTACTAGTGTTTTACATAGTGCTCTGGGAATCTTTATATGAAATTGTTCCTTTCAAAATTCAAATGCACATGGCATTCACTTGGGGAAGATTGAAAGAAATCGCAAAATTCTGGCAAATCAGAACGGTTGGAAATGAGGCATGCTCTGATTGAGCACATCCTCTTCTCCATTACTTTTCCTTCTCCTCCCACCCCCAACCTGTTCATCTAAACTAAACCAATTGTCTTCTTGTATACATTTTTGTGGCACATCAGCATGCTCCAAAAAAATTCTTTCATTTGAATTATAGTCAGTTATTCTAGCATCCACCTTTCCTGACATGAAATCTAGGAAAAGCAGAAAAGAGTGTCAGCTGATGACCTTGACATTTTCTCTGCCACTGTTTCTTTATTGTAATAAAGAGAGTTCTTATGTTCTGTTACACAGCAGTTGGGCAAAAAAAAATCTCTGTTTTGGACAGCCAATTCTCAGCCAGCTGTGAATTCTCTGGGGGGCAAAAACTTCATTCAGCATTACAACCATTGATGCCCAAAGTCTAACAGGTTTTTAGTCTGTACATCATACCCAAACCGGTCAAAAGATGACGACCAGTATTTACATAAATCCAGATGAGAAGAGTATTTTTCAGAACAACTGGCAAGAAGGAAAGAAGGGATGAATGCGAACTAGCTTTGCTTGAGAGAATGAGGGGCCACAAAAAATGAGACAGAAAATATACACTGGGAAGGAGGAGAAAGTGAGGGACAGGCAGCAGAGCGTTGGTTGGAGGATTTCTTATTAGGAAGAAAGGTTAGGGTTAGGCAGTTATCAAAGGGTTATAGTTCTAAGGTGTCAGAGGCATTCCCCTACCTTTCCATTCAGTAGGTAAGAAGCAGGCTGCATTACGTTCATCAAAACGCCCATAGGACTCCAGCTGAATTTATACCTCAAAGGATTGTCAGAATGTTCGGGGGCAGGAAGCCCCCCACAGTAGGAAATATAAGATTCAATCTATAAATTAAGAATCAAGAATTTAGAAGTAGCAAACAATGAATGATTTAAAAATGGTGTGTTAAGTCATTGAGGACAATGCCATAGTGGAATAAACTTGCTGATATTGTGCCATTTTTAAGTTATTAAAGCTTTCTAATATAAAGCCTCATAATCAGACACTTAATTTAATTCAGGGGTGTATTTTAGGTATATGAGAAAGAAAAGAACCTACTAGTTCAGTTTTGCTTTGTCAGTTCTTACTGATTTGTACCCAAATTTATATGTGTGTATATGTATTTATATATATTCACATATGTAACTGTATTTTGTCGTGTGCAAATACTACCCAAACAGACTGATGATATTTCAGATTGTTTTTGCTCACAGACAAAAGTCAAACTTGCTTATATCCTATCTAAGAATCTTTTTTCAGTGAAGATGTTAGAGTAGCATCAATTACTATCCAACACCCAAATGTCACTTTACTTCACAGACACATCTGCACCTATGAAATTCTATTTGAAATGAAAAAATGAGCTATAATATAACCGCATCTTTAACCAGAATCACAGAAAGATTATTTCTGTAATTAAAAGCTAGGCCTGTCATGCCCTCTCATAAACGGTGCTCACCGTGGCCCCCATTTCTTTGGCCTTATCGATGGTATCCATTGCAAGCATATGATCAAGCCCAGGATCCAAGCCCAACTCGCCAATGAGTGTGATGCCCGCATCTTCCACACTGACACAGGTGGGAAGAGGAAAAAGGAAATGTCAGGAAATATGCTCCTTAGGGCATTTACTTATATGGTAATGACTGAAACTGACCTCTTTTCCAGCTCTTTCAGTGCTGGTGTGATGTAGCTTGCAGTGATCATGTTAACTTTGTTTGTGATGCAAGCTTTGGCCACAACGGGATGTAACACATATGGCAACAAGCTAAGAGAGAGAGAAATTCCTGTGAGCTACAGAACAAATTCTTCCCCAATTTGAAAATTTAAGAAACTGATAATACTTAAATTTTTTATTATTTATGATTTTTATTATTTATGATTGGACTTATTGGATGTTATATCTTTAACAAAAACAAATTAGAGTATTTCACTCATTTTGATTGTGACATTAAGAAAAGGATATAATTCTTGTATATGACGACCAGCCAAAACCCAGAAACAGTTGAACTATCCATGAATAGTCAAATAATCATGACATATTCATACAGTAGAATACTACACAGCAATGAGAATGAACAAACTACAAATAATAACAGAAGATGCTCAGAATCACCAATGTTAATTAAAAATGAAGGTAGCCACAAATGAGAACACACACACTGAGTGATTACAAATTTATGAACAATGAAAATAGAAACAACTAATCTATATATCAGAGAAGAAAACAGCACTTGCTTTGAGAATAGAGTTGGTGAATGGAAGGGGCATGAGCAGGGCTCTTGAGGACAATTTCTTGCTTTATTTTTGTGTGAGAGAGGAAGCAGTATTAAGGCTGAAACTCATACTTTCACTTGGCTTTTTGGCTCAAGGCTTGGGACTCCATTTGAGCTCCACCTCTACTTTTGAATTTTGGCTGGTTAATTATAGATAAGAGTCTGCTGTTCCTGGGCTTGCTTAGACCTGTGATCCTCAGAATTCAGCCTCCTGAGTAGCTAGAACTACAGCAATGAGTCACCAACAACCAGCAGTATCTTATTTCTTGGTATCAATGGTGGTTACAGAATGTGTTTAGTTGGTGGAAATTCATTGAGCTACATGTTGATATTTTGTTTATGTTTTAGACAGAGTCTCCTCTGTAGCCTATTTGACCTCAAACTTATGATCCTCCTATGTCAGCTTTCCCAGTGCTAGATGTATAGGCATCTATCACCAAGCCTGGACACATTTATATTTTGTACATTTTGTGACTTCATGCTTAAATTTAAAGCTTTATGAAAACAAGAGGGAGGAGAGAGCAAGAAGAGAGAAGCAACGTGGATGAGAAAGAGAGGAGGAGGAGGAGAAATGACAACAATAGACATAGCTGTCCTGGAAGCTTTAGTGAAGCCTTGTTTGTGTTCTATTGGCTAACTGCCCAGAAGTAGGATTGCTGGGTCATAGGGGAGCGGAACCTCCATACTGCTTTCCAGATTAGTTGAACAAGTTTGCATTCCCACCAACAGTGTAATCGAGGTCCCTTTTGTTCATATCCAGGACAGTATTTGTTAATGTTGGTTTTCTTGATATTGGCCATTCTAAGTGGAGTGAGGTTTTGATTTGCATTTCCATTATGGCCAGAGATGTTGAACATTTCTTCATGTGTCTATTCCTATTTCTTCTTCTGAGATATCTCTCTCTAAGTCATTAGCACATGTATTAATTAATTAATTCTTTGAGGGTTTATTTTAGGGAGACTTGGGTTTTTTTGAGCTGTAAGTATATTTTGGATATTAGGCCCTTGTCTGATATAAAATCATGTTCAGTGCAGCATTATTCACCATAGACAAGATATGGAATCAGCCCAGAGTCCCCTTGGTATATGAATGGATCAAGAAAATGTGGTATTCACAATGGAATTCCTTCAGAAAGAATGATATTGTACCATTTGTAAGGAAATGGAAAGACATATAAAAATTTATATTAAACAAAGTAAGTCAGACCCAGAGAAACATAGGTTGCGTGCTTTCCTCATTTGTGATAGCTAATATGTGTCTATAAACCTACAAGTAAACACTCTGGGTGGTAAGCAAGTGGTCACAAATGAATTAACTAAAGTAGAATAGAGTCTATGGAGAGTGCAAATAGTGTGATTCTTTAAATAAAAAAGAAAAACTAAGTCAAAGCACCCAAAAAATAAGTACCAGGAAACGGGTAGTCACAAGAGGCTAGGGGTAGAGGGGTAGGGGTAGGGCCAAGGGGAGAGGAGTAGAAGAATGAAGCAGGAAAAGGGGAAGAATGCAGGCCAGAACTCACTGCATGTACCACAGAGTTGAGAAATATAAGGGAAGGGGTGGGCTGGAGGGGGAAGAAGATTTAGAAGTGATGACACAGATCAAGATGTATTGTATACATAAACTCTTTGTTAAAGGGCAACAGAACTAAATACATAACCTAAAATTAAGATAATTAAGGAAAATGGTACACTGGGAGTGTGGATGAGAATGCTGAACGGGGTGACATTGATCAAGGTGCACTGCATTCATAAACTGCTTTGGTGAATGGCAACTCCTTTGTACAACCACTTATTGTAAAAATACTGTACATAGGGGTTATAGTTACATGAATACATTTCCTATTGAGCACTGTTACCTCCTCTGTTTTTCCCCTACCATCCCCTCCCTCCCCACCTCCCCAACTCCTTCCCCCTCAAGTTGCGAAGTTCATTTTCAACATAGTGTCTTGTACATCACATTGTTACAATGGGTCAACCTGCATCAAGCATTTTTGTTATTTCTCTTCCCCTCCCCAAATTAGAAAAATGTATATACAAGATACAGGGCACCAGAATCAAATACAGTGAAAACAGGGGTTATACTATGGGGGAAGAACATACAAAAAAATCACAAAGTACAACCACTTAAAGATAATAAAATATTCAAAAATAGAAAGACAAAATATTTATTTTGCTTGCTCAATTAAGATAGAGAGAGAGAAATAGAGAGAGAGAGAGAGAGAGAGAGAAGTAACAACAAAAAGTGTATGTAACTTGTTCTTGCCAAATACCTAATGACAAGATCCTGAGATGCCACCAGGGAGTTCAACCTTTCTTCTTGTTTACCGATGTTCATGTTAACAAGATTAATATTGTATTTCTTGCTTAACTTTTTCATTTGATTTTCCATGTCAGAGCCTATTTTAGGGATAAAACAGTCCAATTTTTATATTTCCCTTTCCATGGCACAAAGAGTAATACACTTTTGAATGTCTCTAAAATCACAAGTACTCCACATACAGAAACTAAAGGGTCATCTAAATTTTATAAGATCGGGAGGGGGGTTGTAAAGAAAAATATGGGAAGGGGAATATAATTACCTACTGTTATTTCTATATTGCTGTCTCTTGACAGGTATTCCAATACAGGTCCAGATACATAGCCAGATCCAAGAACCAACACCTTTTTCTTGGTATTCATTGAAAATGATTGAAAATTTTCTCTGTTTAAAAAAAAAGGAGGGAGATTTAATTTCTTTCTAAACAACCAAATCTAATTGTCCCCATATCAATCTAAAACTTAAACTGTGAAATAACAACTTTTTTTCTAAATGACTTACAATAAGAACCAAAAGAAATTTCTACACTGATATTTTTCATTACTTATTTCATATTTTTATAATAAAGCAACAAACCCTGAGAAACCTGAGGTATATAGACCTCCATAAATTCACAGTAGTAATGAAGGTGCTGGATTATTTATTTGCTTATGCCCTAAGGAGAAATTTTGTTCGTACTTTCTCCTAGAGGACAAGATTTAAAATCACATTAGAGGGCTATCCAATGGAAAGTTTACTTGCCTCTCACAACAATCCAAAGAGCAGAAGAGCATTTTTATACATATTAGAAATTGTTTTGTCATATAATTTTAGGGTCACGTGAGAACTAAAGCTATAAATTGGGTTAAATATAGAAACCAAGACAAGTATGAGGAAGGATTTCAATTCTTGAGTAGTTTATTTTGTGATAATTTATATTTTCTGGAAAGATGGCTTTATTTCCTGCAAACTGTAAGTTCAAGGAAGTGACAAGTCTTGTCCAACTTTATAAACCCACTAATGTTAGTTATATTTTCTTTCGAATATGGAAGTTATTCATGCAATGTCTTTTGAATCACATATTATTAACCTATAGAAATGTCCTTCTGTCACTGACTTAGGCTGCTGGCTGTTCTTGGAATTTTTAGGTCAGGATGTTTCTCAAAGTTTAATCCACAAATCTTTACATTCATAATGGATGGATATAAAACAAATATAAAATATTACTGCTTTTTTTAATCTTCAACATATATAAAGATAACCCATTAAAGTATTTCTCTTCCCAAAAAACTACGATTTTGTACTAATATATTCTAATTATACTTTCTATAATTTCTGGGATTAAAACAGTATTTTTATGAGCACATAGAAAATGTTTTAAATATACTATTTTTAAGAATTCACTTGTAGATTCTAATTTTGTCTACATCATCAGCACCCCTAAACTCCAGACTTTGAATTAATATTCACTGTTTCAAATGAAGCAAGAATATTAGAGTAAGCTGGGACTCAAAATAAGGCAAATTTCCCTTCAAGATGCAAGCTTCACTATCAGTTTCTCTGCACAAGAATCCATTAGAGAAATAAGACAGGAAGTCCTAGCAATGGCAGCCAAGTAGACCTGGTGTCACATGAAATATAATAAATAATAATACATAGTAAGGTATTACTATGTTGGTATTTCATACATACTATCAGTGTTAGAAGTAAAAGAAAGCATTGGGTAATAATACTCCAAAGATAGAGCTATAAAAAATACACACATGTGAAGTTTTCCTAGTACAAACTCTCCCGTGCTATTAAAGAGCTAGCTTCTCTTTCAAAAAATGAAATGTCCTTGGTGTTTTAAGTCAGAGTGTTTCATTCAGTCAAGTAGCTATAGCAAATTAACATATGGGAAAGTCATTTCTATGAAATACTTGAGTTGATCTCTTCCTTTACTTCTTATAGGAAGAGCCACTGGGAGGTAAAAGAGACACTGTTTTGCTTACTTTAGTTTTCCCATTCCTAACTCTTTTGAATAATAGTAACATAGTCATAGTTCATTAATAGTTCAGGAGTTGTATTGTTACTTTGTTAAATGTAATAGGACATGGAGTAGACACAAATGAAGTGCAAATGCCAGGAAGAAAGCAGAATATTCCAAAGTAATGTCAATGTTTTCAGAATCCCAGCAGTATTATCAGTTCAGGAACTAAGTACTTTAACTAAGCACCTTTCTAAGAGGACTATTCTCTCAACTATTTTATCAACTTTTTCAGGTACCTGCCTCCTCACAAGAATTCCCAGGGGATGTTATCTCTCATCATTTTCTGTCTTCATTGTTTCCTTTCGTTTCTGCCCAATGACCCACTTTCTTAAGCATAATAAGAAACAAAAGTCTAAACCTCTATCTAAAACCTAAACTAGAAGTACCACAGAAAAGATTAACATGCTCATATTTTCTTTGAATAAATAACTGAGAAATCACCATATACAAAATGATAAAGAACAAACAAGTGTCTGCTCAAATGACAATGATTTTACACTTTAGCTTGCTCACACACAAGTTTAGATGGGATTGTAGGCAACTGAACAATGCTATTTTATTCTTCAAGGAAAAAGATGTCGAATTTTATACATTTATAGACATGCCCTATCAATTACCCTGGCTGTGAATATTCTATATAATTAAAATTAAGAACTCCTATTGAAGCTTTACACCGTCAAATCCAAGATGAGACAAAATATATAAAACAAAAGGATACAAACACTACTTACCTGTCCTCTCGGAGTTTCTGGATATATTTATATTTATCCGTTAATAAACCGTTGGATGTAATCACAGCCTAAATGTGTATGACACAAGACATTTCTTTAGGTACCAAAATTTTAGTCTTACACATGTGGGCTCATTACTGACAGAGGGTGACTGAGTGACAGAGAGACACTCTGGAATAGGAATAGAGCCACCCTCTATTCCTAGAGAGTAAGAAGGGGAGATTAGGCGGCTAAGGGAGAAAAGACAATTAAGATAGTAGAGAGAAGTATACATCTGTGGGAAGAAATTTTCAAAACTTACATCTCGCACCACAGGAGAAAAGTTCTGACTTTCCAGGGGCTGTGATGCATCTGATAATAACTGAAAGGAAAAGGAGATTGGAAAGATATAAATAAGATTGTAAGGTTGGTTTATTAAAACATTACTAGAGAAAAGGATAATTTAGGGAAATTTTCTGAAGATCACTAAGAGAAATCAGCTCTATTCCCAAAATTCAATTTTAAAAAATAAATTTTGATCTTTGTTTGCTAAGAACACAACCAACCAGGTTTAGCCTATTGAGTGAGCTATAAATGCACAAACTCTGCCCTCTGTGACCCTCTATCCCATTCCAAGTTCAAGCAGTTCCCTGGGAAGTAGAGAATGGAATTTTCCTCTCTATTAATGCTGCCTGAGGGGTCTCCCTTAAATAAATATTACTTCTATGTATAGGCACAATAACATTTCAAAACAGGTAGGGGAAGGCAAGCTCCAACAGGCAAATAAGTCAATCTGATTAAAGTACTGCATGGGCATTTGTGAAATCCCATGGCGAAAAACCTCTCTGAGGAATTAACATGCACATTTATAAAATGAATGATAGGAAAATGAAGCATGTCCTGTCTACACCTGGGGGCAAGGGCAGACTGAGTAGAAAGGATGAAGGAAGGTAAATATAGCCAAAATACCTCCTATATATCTGTGAAAATGGAAAACGAAGCTTTTTAAGCTTGGTTTGTGAAGGAGGGAAGGAGAAGATGAGGGAAGGTGATGTGGAGGAGAGTCTGATCAAGATACCTTGTCCTTTGAATTTCAGTTCAAAAGCTATGGGCACGCCAAAATGAAACCTCCCTGTGCAGCTAATGAATGACAAGAAAAATAATAGGGGGGAGTGATTTGACCATGTAGATCTCAAGTCATCCAATCCCTCCTCGTTATCACACAAGATTGAGACAGATTGACAACACAAGATACAATCCTCATTAATATCTTCCTATCTTTACACTACAATGCTTAGTCTTGAACCTACTACCAAGCAGCACAGGGCCTGTTAGGTCATGGGCAGAGAAGTGCCAATGGGGCTATGTTCCCTTTTTAACTTAACTTAATGTCTAGATCATCCACCATATTAAGAAAGAGTACAAGACACCTAGCACAGGCTGGCAGCAGAGAATTCATTTAATGCATTTTTTAAAAGATTGAATATGTTCATGGATGTAAAAAACAACACATATAAACTTCCCATTACTGCATATGGACAAGTTTTGAAAAAGAATATCAGGTATGCTGGAAACGGATCATTCAAAACAGGATATAAAATAAATACTATATTCCAAAGCAAATGGAAAATTGCAAAAATATTAGCTCTCCAAAGACTAAAGCCAGCTTTAAGTTAGTTCTCTCTCTAAATCAACTGAGGTGATTTTCTTCTATTCTATTTCCTGCTGTCTCCATGTCTTCCCTGGAAGAAAATCACATTGCATTTAGAGCCTCAAACTATCTCTAAAATTGTATACATGCCATGTCAGGCATTCAATAAAATGTAGATGAGTATAGTAAATGACTGATTGCAACCCCACCATGGGGATCACTGACAGATCCAAGAAGTATATTAGGAGGTTTAAACTGTAATTAATACTTTAAAATAACAAAGATTTGAGATACATTCAAAAGAAAATGGAATACCTTGCCCATGTAATTGTAACCCCTCTGTACCGCATTTTCACAATAAAAAAAAGAAAACGGAAAACTTTTTTGTTTCCTTTGTATGTTCTTCCCCCTATGGTATATCCCCGTTGTCACTGTACTTGATTTTGGTACCCTGCATTTTGTATATACATTTGTCTTATCTTGGGAGAGGAAGGGGAATAACAAAACACTGATACAAGGACACAGGATGACCCATTGCAACAATGATACCCACAGGACAGTATATTGTAAGTGAACTTTACAACTCGGGGGGGGGGGCGTGGAGGGGTGGAGGAGATGGGAGAGGAAAGGGATAGTGGACAACAGGGAAGAGATAACAATGATTGACAAATAATGTATTCATTGCCTGACTCATGTAACTGCAACCCCTCTGTACAGCATCTTTACAATAAAATAATTTAAAAAAAAGAAAATAGAAAACTTAGAAAACTTTATAAATGGTCAAATAAAAAGTTCAAGGGGCTGGGCACTGGTGGCTCACCCCTGTAATCCTAGCTACTCAGGAGGCTGAGATCTGAGGATCATGGTTCAAAGCCACCCAGGGCAGCAAACTCCGTGAGACTCTTATCTCCAATAAACCACTAGAAAACCAGAAGTGGTGCTGTGGCTCAAGCAGTAGAGTGCCTTGAGCTGAAGAGCACAGGGGCAACGCCCAAGCCAAGAGTTCAAGCCCTACAACCGGCCCAAAAAAAAGCTCATGGGAATCTGTCCCAACTAATAAAATGTGATGTGCTCCTGTCATCTCAGCTTGGCAGGAAGCATAAATGGGAGGATTGTGGTCCAGGAATGAATGTGAGATATGATGTGAAAAATAATAATAGCAAAAAGGGATGAAGGCATGGCTCAAGTAGTACCGTACCTGCTTAGCTTAACATATATGCAACATGTATATGTATAAGTATAGGTATACACATACTTATGGAGATTAGAATAGCAATTTAAAAACATGACTAAACTGACATATATAGGTCATATAAAATATACATTTTTCTCAGTTATACATGGAAAGTTCTTCCAAAGCTGACCATAGTAAACCTCAACAAAATTCAAAAGGTTACAGTCATATAGAATATTGTATATAAACATATACAAAACAATTAGGATGCTAATCACTAATAAGTTATATTGGCACATGCCTGTAATTTCAGCTACGTAGGAGTCAGAGATCAGGAGTATGGCAATTCCTTGTTAGTGGGACTCTATCTCAACCCATAAGCCAAGCATTGTGGTACATACTTATAATTGGACCACTGTTCAAGGTCAATTCTAGACAAAATGTGAGACTCTATCTGAAGTATAAATAAAAGCCCAAAGGGAAGAGTGTGTGACTTAAATAACAAAGTGTCAGAATAGAAAGCCCTGAGTTCAAGCCAAAAAAAAAAAAACCCAGTCAGTAATAAAGACAATCAGAAAAGTCTCAAATGTTAAAGCTTGAAAATACCAAAAAATAACTTATCAAAAACTAAAGGGAGAAACTAAAGCTGAAATCAGACTAAAATTTGTAGCTTTACATTTCGTATGTTATTAAGATGAGTGGAAATTAAGCATACAAGAAGCTAAGAGAAGGTTGTATTAAATCCACCAAAAAGTAAAACAAGGATCTAATAAAGATATAAGGGCCAACCATGATGATGCATGCCTGAATTCCAATTACTAGGAGACAGAGATTGGGAAGATTCAGTTCAAGGCCAGTGTGTACAAAAAGTTAGTGAGACCTGCCATCTCAACCAATAAGTTAACTATTGTAGCTTTCCTCTGTCATCTGAGCTACAAGGGAGGAGTAAAGAGGAGGATACTTGTTCAAAGAAAAGTTCAAGGCTATCTAAAAAGTAGCTAAAGCAAAAACAGGCTATACACATGGTTCAGGTGCTAGACCACTGGACTAGTGTACACAGTCCTTCAAGTTCAAATCCAGGGCCCACCAAAGAGATGAATAAAAATAAATGAGTGAATAAAATACTTTTCAGAGAAGTTCTTTCAACACCCTGCTAGAACTAAGTTGATAGAGCTCACTCATTAGTATAAGATCATTCCATTTTAGCTTTAGAAAACTTAAGTTCTTGCAAACCATTCCTCCTACAGGTAATAGCTAACACTCCCAGTATTGTAACAATAACAAATAACATGTGGGCATTAGAGAATGAAGAATTGAAGTTAGAAAGGAAATACCCCTCAACATCTCTGGCTATAAAGGAAATGCAAATCAAAACAACACTGAGAGTTACCACACCCCAATTGGAATGACCAATGTCAAGAATACTAACAGTAACAAATGCTGGTGTGAATGTGGCCAAAAGAGTACACTATTACACTGTTGGTGGGAATGGAAGCTTGTTCAACCACGGTGGAAAGCAGTGTGGAGGTTCCTCAAAAAAAAAAAAACTAAACATAGAACTACACTATGAACTAGCAATTCCACTCCTGAGTACCTATCCAATAGAATACAAACAAGGTCACAGTAAAGCCATCAGGACAACTTTGTCCATTGCAGCATTGCTTGCCATAGCAAAGATATGGAATCAAACCATGTGCCCCTCAGTGGATGAATGGATCAAGAAAATGTGGTATATATTCACAATGGAATTCTACTCATGTGTTAGAAAAAAATGATATGGTACTATTTATAAAGAAATGGAAAGACATCGAAAAACTTACATTAAGTGAAGTAAGCCAGATCAAGAGAAACAATGATTACATGGTTTCCCTCATTTCTGATACCTAGAATGTACCTATAAATCTGTAAGTTAAAAACACTAGGTGATATGAATTAACTGAAGCATAATAGACTCTATGGAAAGTTCAACTAATATAATCTTTTAGAAAGACCAGGGTCAAAGCCCAACAAAATCAACACTAGGAAAGGGGTCTATCCAAGAGTGGGGTGGAGCCACAGGGAGAGGTGTGGGCAAATGATGCTGGTAGGGAAGTCGAATGCAGTTTTAAAAATTCATTGTATAATGGGTCAACTTGTATACTTAGTTAAGCATTACCTTACTCATGTAACTATAATCCCTCTGTATGGCATTTTTACAATAAAAATATATTAAAAATTCATTGTATATACTACAAAATTAAGAAAAGTAAGGGAAGGGGTGGGTCAAAGTGGGGTGAGAAAGTTGAAGGGAGAAACACTGATTGAGATGTATTTATTCATTAACTGCTTTGTTAACTGGTACCTCTTGTGTAAAACTACTTAAAGATTATATGAATTTTTCTTAAAAGGAATACCAAAGCATGGAGCAAGCAATTAGAGCAGTAGCTGTGTTTTATAATATTATTACTATTATTAATTATTACTTTATTATTACTATTTCTGTGATGAGGATTGAACCCATGACCTTGTGTGTGGTAGGCAAATGCTCTACTACTGAGCTATATACAAAGCTCCAAGTGGCATACCGTTTTGGCATTGCTTTGAGCACATGCCGTGTAAAATGAAGAGCTTATAAACATGTACAAATGTGCATTTACTCTTTGCCTTAAAGAAACATTATGCAGCCCAGAACAACCACAGCCTTTAGTGTAAAAAGAAAAGTCCGAGAGGGCAGATTCAAAACAAGGGAGGCCAACTTCTATGTAAACTCTGCTCCAAGTTTCTGAATGACCCCCAAGCTGAGTGTGTACCTGCTAGACTACAAGCATCATGATAATATCAGAGGTGAACTTTTCTTTGAGCTCCTCCTCGGTTGAGAGGGACTTTTCAGACTAATCAAGTTAACCACCTGTTTTAAATTTTTTTCAGAGAAATTTAAGAATTCAGAATTGTCACAATAAAACCTTCACATCTGGCAGGTACCTGTGGCTCATGCCTGTAATCCTAGCTATTCAGGAGGCTGAAATCTGAGGATCATGATTCAAAACCAGCCAAGTCAGTAAAGTCCATGACACCCTTATCTCCAGTTAACCACCAGAAGACCACAAATGGCACTTTAGCTCAAAGTGTTGGAGTGCTAACCTTAAGCAATAAAATATCAGGGATAGTCTCCAGGCCCTGAGTTCAAGTAACAACTGAACAAAAAAGAAGAAGGAAGAAGGAAAGAGGAGAAGGAGGAGGAGGAGGCTGAGGAGAAAGAGGAGGAAGATGAGGAGGAGGTGGAGAACAAGGAGGAGGAGGGGGAGGAGGAAGAAGGGGAAGAGGAAAAGGAAGCAGAAGGTGCCAAAACAAAAACTTTCACATTATCATTGATAGAATCCAATTATAACACAACAATTGAGTAATAGAAACTGAATAATACAACTACTCAGTGATAACTAAGAAACTATGAGTCATTCTCAAAGGTACAAACAATCATTCAATGCCAAATGTATCCATATATTACAAAGGTAACATATAATGGCACACGCTGATCCACAAATTTATTTTCCCTGGTTTCAGTTAAACACATCAAACAACACTGTGAAAATATTAAAAGGAAAATTCCTGAAATAAGCCATTCGTCTCCTCCTTTATCGTGCTTTTGTCCAGTGTATCCACAGCATATGTGCTCCCCACTCTAAAACCAAGGAACATCTTGTGATTGAGCAACCTTCATACAGTGGCTTAGTGCTCCTTCAACACATCACCAAGCCTACATCATTCACCTCCCTTCTTCTCAACACATGATCATTGTATCATCTCATATCACTACAAGAACAAGGAGTCAGTGCAACAAACAATATGATATTCTTGGAAAAGAGAGGCCACAGTGACATACTTATTGAAGTATATAATGTTATGGTTGTTATGTTTCATAACAAGTTATTGTGAGTATCTTACTTGCCTGACCTAGACCCAGAGAAAGTCAGACATTATCGTAAGTATGCTTGTATAGGAAAACAAATGCATTGCGCGCACGCGTACACACACACACACACATACACACATACATGTGGTTCAATAGTACCCACGGTTACAAGCATTTACTGAGAGTATTACGATATACCTCACAGAGATAAGGGGACTTAGCGCAAAGTTTGAAAGGCTAGAAATTCTCAGCAGATAAAGAGAACCCTACAAAAACAAAAAGAAGGAGACAGAAGATAAGAAAAATGTCAGTTCTGGGATGGAAAATACAATATCTGGAATCAATATAACAGAATAGAGAATTTGGAGACATTTTCAGATTAAAAGAATATCTAACCAGTGGCTCTGCACTACAAGCAGTGCTTGCGGAAGAAAGGGCAAAGATATTGGAAATGATAAGCCTTCTTTTCTCTAAGTACGTACCTCTTCACACACTCGTACATTTACTTCTGCAGGATGTTAGAATTAGGTACTATGACCATTATTTGTTACATACATCCCATTTTACAGATGAAATATTTGAGACTCAGATAGGAATTGAGTTTCCCATTCAAGAAATATGCCTGCAGTGAAGCCCATTATTTTATTGTATCCTCCTTTTTTTTAAGTTACTGGAGCTTGAACTCAGGGGCTGAGCACCAGACTCCTGAGTAGGCTCAGATTACAGACATGAGCCACTAGCACCCAGCTTGTACTCTCCTTAGACTATCTTAATCCCCAACTTCAGGTGTGTTTCATATCCAGAGCTGTGCTGACAACTTCTCAGCCTTAAATTTTCTATGTTCAAGCTTCTAAATCTGCAAAATGAGAGGCTTCTCCTATGTATTTAAAATGAAGAAGTGTGGAATGCTTTACACAATATCAGGAACCCCACCATGAGGATGCCAGCTGTCAGCATGGTCATCTTCCTTCTTCCACATTCCCAGAGAAAATGAAAGAGTCTAGATAGAATACTATTTGAGAGAAAATGGTACTGCTTTGTCTGTGCTCTGAACACTTAAATAAGGTGGTGTTTTCATTTGTTCCTTCCATCAAAAATAGTGTATGTTTTCTGTGACTTCTTCCTAATTGGCATTTTATTTAAAGAAAATAATCGCAGGCTGATCACTGCTCTACTGTCTATGATCCTGTTTCAGTATGATGGTGCCTGAGTGAAAAACCCAAGAGGAAGAACAAAGCCACAATTCATAACTTCAGAATCTCTGCTGGTGGAAGACAGCCATTAGCAATAAAAATAAAGCTTGACTGTTATGTGCCTAAGAGAAACACTGAGATAAGAATGGTTTCCGTTGATTAGGAGAATGGAATTTTGATGACCGAGTACCTCAGTTGTCAATCACTGATCACAGAAAACAAAAAATATATTATCTCAAAGTACACTGTCTCTTAAAGCATGAGTACCAAATATACAGTAACACTTTCTATATTTCTCAAATCTGTGAATCATTTGTTAATTTATAAATTTATTCAGACAAGCAAGAAAATGGACAATAAAGCAATACATATCTCACATATCATGGTTTTCCTAGTTAAACACATACAATGAGACAAATGTAATTAAACATAATCCCAGTGATATATTCCCACAAGACAAGCAAGTAGAATATGTACAATAATAATTCATCAGGAACACTTCAAGGACTTTGGGGGAAGGGCTGGCATTTCATTTTACAACAGATTTCTTAGGTACAAAAGACCAGAACATTCATAAGCTCATTCCATAACTCTACAAAGGGCTCAGAATTGTTGTGGTATCTACAAATCTCCTTACCATTTCTTCAACGTAAGGGTAAAGCATGTCTCCAAAGTATTCTGTAGCTTCAATTGGAAGCTGTGCTGGCAAATTGTCAATGGAACACATCAAAATCCCAGAGCCTTCAACACTAGGAAAAGCACACACTTTATTCTGATGCTCATCCGGTCATTGGTAAGCTACAATTTTTCTCAGATGTCAACTCCATTCTACTTGTTTCACTAACCACTTACGGTCTTAATGCAAAGGTACATAAGACTCTAAGCAAGATTTTTCTTATGAATCTTTTTCCCCTCTTCAAGCAACCCATCTCCCATTTAGCAATAGTATACATATATTTAAATGTTTACATTTCTATGTGGTTTGTCTAACAAAATTTTAAAAGTATGTTTGAGTAGTTACTCCTAGGTTTTTATAGTTTCATAAAGAAGTAAAGTATCAAGTATTTGATCTTTAAGTCATTGCAGCTTTAACAGACTCACCTGTCATGAATGATATGCTGGTCTGCATCATACATGCAAAAAGGATGCTCTATTGTTGTGCACTCAGTCATAAAATCTATAGATCCACCTGTGTCCGCTGATATGTCACATATTGCTACAAGTCTAAAAATAACATTGGTATTTAAATGAGACCTCTGAAGCTTTCAACAGGGTTACCATTGACAAAACATGAAAGATAGTTGGAATAATTTTCAGTGTTGAATACCAAGTATTTCCTAAGCTTCTGAACACTTTTTCCTGTAGTTCAGTCTTCAAGAGTTGTTCTGGGGTACAGAGAATTTTTCCAGTATGAGTTTTAGTCTCCATAGAAAAAGAAAGGAAAAGAAAGAAGAAGAGAGGAAGAGAGAGCTAGAAAGAGAAAAGAAAGAATTAGAAACAAAGGGGAAAATCTTTTCCTAAACATATAATCCACAACAACATGGGTTAAGTTAACCTAGTTAACCATCTGTAAATAGCTCACAGAGGTCCAACTACTCTACTTTGTGCTTAGTACAGTCATCCCTCAATATTGTGGATTACACATCTGGGGATTCAATTGAGACTCAAAACCATTTGTGGAAAAAAATGTATCTGCATAAATATGTACTCATTTCTTGTCTTTGTCATTATTCCCTAAACAAGAAAGCCAGCATGAGAACTATTTAGTTTGTTTTCATTTCATTAAATATAGTAGGTAGTCCAGAGAGACTTAAAGTCATATAGGAGAGGTACCTGAGTTCTATGCAAATACTATATTATTTTGTATAAGGGATTGAGTACAGTTATTGGCATCCACAGGGGTCCCAGGTACAATCTCCCATGGACATGAAGGACAGATGACTGTGCTGCATGATTTTATAGTTCATGACATGCAAATGTCTAGAATCAGAAAGAAAAAGTCTCAGTCTAGCATTCAAAAGCTTTCAGAGGTTGGCTGTGATTTTTCTGTCCAATCTGCAAATACCAAAAGCCTAAACAATGGTATACTAGGCCTAGATTGTCCTTTTTCGTAAGTCACATGGTAGATGGGCAGGTCCACGTTTATCAGGCATACATTGTACCACTTGAAGCTTTTGTTCTCCTTGTACTCCCTTTTAAGAGTTTTCTCAGTGTCAGCTGCTAGGCCAGCACTTCGGGAAACAATCATCTATGGTCCTGAAATGATTATTAATGTGCCTTCAAGGTTGTAGCTTTTTGTTTGTTTGTTTCAGATAAGACTGTCTAAGGAAACAAAATGAATCCACCAGAATCCCCAAGTCATAATGACCCATATTTTAGGTTTTCCTAAAGTAAACTTTACTCATAACAATATCAAATTTTCCACCCAAAGGCATTCCCATTTCACCATTTTTTGGACATGCAATAAATGAAGGAGCATGACTTCCAAGAGCACTTTCAGGAAGGGGCCACCTCACCATATCATGATGAGACTTTCCTCAATGAATATATATACACTTCCTCAATAAAAGCTCCCTGCTTTCTTTTCTTAGACAGTTACTACTATGAAAGTACCACCTACTTAATATAATATATAATACATAATTATATAATATATAATCCTTGTAGTAACAGATATTTTATTCACTCTTTTACTTCTCTGGTTGTGCTTGTTGGCTTTGCACTCACCAGATTAACTCACTGTGTTCAAGGAAAAGTGTTCCCACTTTCTTTAAAGCTCCTGTGTTTCTGTTCTTCCTATTTTCCTCTTGGCATTGGCCTGGTGCCAGCTACATGCCTGAGAGAGCTAACATCCATTAGCTTGGTAGAATACCGACACACAAGATAATTCCACAAATTTTACTCATTCATTCCTTTACTCATTTAACATGTAATAATTATTTGAATGTCTATTCTATATCAAGCAACATATCCAGAACTTGTGGCTATGATAAATATGATCTCAATGTTTAAAGAGCTTAAACTCTAGTAGTAGAGAGAAAAAGCAGGAACACAGGAAAACAAGGGATCATGAGTTGAGAAAAGGCAACCTAGTAATAGGTGAGATAAAATATGGGAAGGGGAAGCAAGAGAGGAGTTCTCTGAGGATTTAGCATTGGAGCTCTATGTGGTGTCACAGAAGTCAGAAGAGACTTTCAACCAGAGAGGGTTAACTGCCAGAGGTCCAGCTAGTCACTATCAGTCAAGTTCTCAGCTATATGGAATTACATTCTTGGATTGCCCAGCAATATTACTGGTAAAAACTGCCATTCGTGTGCAGCAAACCCTTACCTGTGTGGTAATGTGGGGCAACCTTCAACAGTAACAATGGAAGACTTGACAGGAGCCAGGAGACTTTGAGCATCATGCCGGGTTAGTAAGCGAGGGGTATTTTGTTCCCAATAAATACCATTGATTAAACAAGTTGTATAGGGTGCAATCTGGAAACCAAGATCAACATCCAACAAAAAAAAGAGAGAATGTTTTAAAAGAGAATTTGTGCAGGTTCATTACAAATAATATTGCTTCTAATGAGTGTTTTTATTGTTCAGGTCAATGGCATTGATTGAAACAAAAACAAAAAAGAAAAAATAAAACGAAAATCCAGCCCTCTCCCTAGATCCGTGTACAATTATACTATAGAAAAATTCGGGCATAATAAATATCTTAATACTTTTTATACATTATGCAATGCATAGAAAAAAGAAAGAAAAGTCACTGAATCATGTGACCCAGAACTCTACTTCCATTTCATATAGAAATAGAGTATGATCTAAATCATATCACCTTGCTTCTCTGAGCTCTGCTTTTCTTACCTGCTTGATAAAAATCATGTATACCCTAATCCTCAAAAGAATGTTGTGAAGACGAATGAAAACATTTGTAAGCTCCATGGAGAAGTGTGCAATATTAGAAATTTAAAGTACTTCCAAGCAATAGTCCTTCCACAAACAAGCATGAAAGAAGGAATAAAAATTTACTAGATTCAAAATTTTTCATAATTTTTCATAATCATCTCAGTCATTGCCAAGATGAAGACAAGAGTTCTTCTCCATAACATGCTGTATGTACCAAAAGAGCTGAACTTCACATCAAAAGCTAAAGGTGCTATGTTGTCCAAACATACTTAAAAATTACTCAAAGCTTTCCTTTTCAAAATGAACACATGCATTTTGGTTGTGTTTTAATTTTCAGCTTGTTGGTTTATTTTAAGAAAGGGTACTACATGACTACTAACTATAAAACATACAAATAGATTTTTCCCAAGATAAGGCCAATGTGTCTCCATGAGAAAGATTTGATTTGAAATGTTTTTTCCATACAATGGGCATAGCTCTGTGTTAATAAATATAGCCACACTATTTTTTTTTTTGGAATCGGTAGTGGGGCCTCAATTCTGGGCCTGGGTGCTATCCCTGAGCTCTTCAGCTCAAGGTTAGCACTCTACCATTGAGCCATAGCGCCACTTCTGGCTTTTTTTTTTCTGCTTATGTGGTGCTGAGGAATCGAACCCAGGGCCTCAAGCAGGCAAGCACTCTACCACTGAGCCACCTTCCCAGCCCTAGCCACACTATTTTAACCTTGATCTTTAGTCAAACACATGGATTTCAAGATAGGTATCTACTTAATTTGGATATTGACTGTGCCTCATAGTTGTGTGTGTTAGTGGCTTGGTTTCCAGCCTATGGCATTATTTGGAGGTGGTGGGACCTTTAAGAGGCAGAGCCTAGTGAGAAGACTTTAAGTAACTGGAGATCCATATTTCTTATGCCTCTCTCTGCTCCAAATTAAGATGCTAGTGCTTACAGTCCACACTGATTACCACCCCCCCACCCCGCCCTGCCCAAAAAATGAAGCTGTCCCAAAAACTGAATTAAATAAGTCTTTTCTCTTTGAAATGTAACTTCCCTCAGGTTATTTTGTTGTTGTAATGCAAAGCTAATGCATTGCTGGAATTGGAGATTGTTACTATTTAAACCTGAGCAAACCGGGCACTGGTGGTTCACACCTGTAATCCTAGCTACTCAGGAGGCTGAAATCTGAGGATCACAGTTCAAAGCCAGCCCAGGCAGGAAAGGCTGTGAGATTCTTATCTCCAATAAAACACTAGAAAACTGGAAGTGGTGCTGTGGCCCAAGCATTAGAGTGCTCCCCTTGAGCTGAAGAACACAGGGACAGCGCCTGTGCTGAGAGTTCAAGCCCCACAACCAACAAAAAACAAACAAACAAAACCTGAGCATATTTAGAATATATTGATGGATCAAGACTGGAAGAGTTTGAAGAATGGGTTAAAGAATGTTAAGAGCAAACCTTATAGATATTACTCTATGCCAACAGTGCTAACTAGTCTAGGACAATACAAAAAGCAATCCACAGGTTCATTCAGATCTGAAGTAGAAACAGAAAAAGTGACAAAATGGCACACCCACAGAAGTCAAAACCACCACGCAAGTTTGGCATCAATGACTCATACCTACAATCCTAGCTAATCAAGAGGCTGAGATCTAAGAATAGCAATTTGATATTGTCCCAGGCAAGAAAGTCTGTGAGACTCTAATTAATTAATTACTCTCTAATTCACCAGCAAAAAGTTGGGAGTGGAGGTGTAGTTAAACTGGCATAATGTCAGTCTTGAGAAAAAAATCTAAGGGACAGTGCCCAGATCCTGAGTTCAGGCCCCTATATAAGCTAAAATTTTTTTAATTTAAAAAAAAACTCATTAAGCAAAGGCCTTTCTAACTACCAGTAAAAGTAACAGCATCAAGAAACCCAAAGGATTTTCAACAAACTGACATGAAGAACTGACAATAGTATACATAGTCATAATTTCTCTCCTTGAAGATAGCCTTGCTGCAGTGCAATTTAAGCAACCAAGCAAAAAGCTGAATAGGATACTCACATCAGTATTAAAACGACTTATGTAGCGCTCTGGATGTTTGTCATACTCCACAGGATCAAACACACCATCTGTTTTTCTGACAAGATGATGATGTCGGCTTAACACAGTCCCATATACTTTTCTGAGGTCTTGCAGAGAATGAAATTATTACAGTACATGATAAATGAGAACAAATTATGGTGATAAAATATTATAACAAGAGACCAAGATTAGTAAGAAGTATGGTTTTTTTTTCCCACCCTTTACCTCCAGTTTGGGAAACTTCTTTTAATTCATGGGGCTCCACATATTCACAGGGTAGCTCATTGAAGATTTCTTGGGCTCCCTGTAAACAATGCAGGAGTGAAACATTAAAAGTCAATGGGAAAAGAGACAACACGGCTTTCAGCACAGATTCCAATTTTTACCCTGACCTATAAGTAGGTCTATATTGCAGAAGCACAGATAATCTTCTTACTCATAGCCTGCAAGCAAGCTTTGGTTCCAGTTCCAAAAGCATGCACTGGAAGCATATTTTTTATTTTTTACTTAAGCTACTGAGAACAGAAACAAGAGTGTTTAGAAATATGAGTACAAGACAAGTCCTGTTTATTTCTTGGCCCATTCCAGAAATTTCAAATGAGAAATCTCTATTTCCTACAGAAGAAAAATGCCTACATCAAAATATAATACTGATATGTTTCATGTGCACAATATTTTCATTAAATATCTATTTTAATTATAACTTTCTCTGGACGATTACAAAAGCACCTTTGAAACCACTCGAAAAGGAAGTATTAATTCCAGTCTTAATTTTCTTAGTGACTTTTTGGTAAAATTCCAAGAAGTCTTGAAAATATATATATTCTGGAGTCACTTTCAAACTTTGTGAATATCTCCGTGATGAAGGAAGACCAGATCAGCCTATGAACAAGGCATTTCACCTTAAACAACGAGTTGTTTCAAGTAAGGAAAGAAGGGAAGAAAGGAAGGAAGGAGGGAAGAAAGAAAGTAAGGAGGGTGGATAAACATTTCATGACTCTGATAGCTTGGAAAACAGCTAAAAGCAATTAAAATATTTGGACCATTACTGCTCTTTTGTAAAAGAAATAATACATAGGTAATTAAGGTACCAAAATTAAAATGCCCATTCATTCTATTTGAAATATCTACACAATGCCCACACCTCCAGAATTTCAGATTGCTTTACAGAAAGAAAGAGATGAAACTTGCCTTTGATACATTACCAGTCCCTGTGAACACAAATGTTAAGGGCCCGATTGACTTTGGCATTAGACCCAGAGATATTTCATAACCAGCATCTCGGACAGCTTGAACAGCCTGACTGCTATTCCTGTAGTTATGAGCCATACCAAGATGCTGAAAGAAGTACATATAATTCAAGTTAGTCTACTGGCAGAGATAGTTTTCTATTCTAAAAGTGTGGTATGGGTTTTCAAATAAGTAGATAGTAGAAACATCTCTCACCATGAAAGGTGTATGATGTCCCAGAGCAAGAAGCCTTAAACCCATTCCATGTAAAATATTGATCATCCCTATTGTAGAATCAAACAAAAAAAAGAGCATTAATTAAGTAAAATAGAATATCAATATACTTTTGGCCCTGATACAAGGGTATGATGTCTTTTGTTAATCTCTCCGCCTTGCAATAATTTACACCAATATAAAGTATATAATTTGTTTATTACATGTATGTATTTAAGTATTATATATACACATACACACATATATATGGCATTACTGGAGATCAAACTTGGGCAATCCCTCTAGTTCTTTTGTTTTCAGTTAGTTTTTCAGATAGTCTTTGGACTATGATCCTCCTATGTCTTGTCTTCTAAGATTGCAGGTATGGGCCACCATGCCCAGTTTTAAAGTGCATTGCTTAATAACTATTACCAAATACTAACGCTTATGTTACCACAAACATAATTTCTTATCACAGACAACCACTGAGATTTCTGTCTGAATAGGTTTTTCTGCTATTGCATATAAATGAATATATGCATATATTCTTTTATTTTGTTCTTTTCTTTTTTTATTATTGTGGAAATACCATACAGAGGGGTTACAATCACATGGGCAAGATAGTAAGTACATTTCTTATCAATCATTGTTGCCTCCTCCTTTGTTTGTGTGTCTTCTTTCATCCAGCATAATGTTTTTGACATTTACATCAACGCTTTATTTCTTTTCATTGTTGAAGAGTTGGGATTTTTTTGGGGGGGTCTGGTCATGGGGCCTGAACTCTGGTCCTCGGTGCTGTCCCTCAGCTCTTCAGCTCAAGGCTAGTGCTCTACCACTTGAGCCATAGCGCCACTTCCGGCTTTTTTGTTTTTGCTTATGTGGTGCTGATGAATTGAACCCAGGGCCTCATGCATGCAAGGCAAGCACTCTACCGCTGAGCCATCTTCCCAGCCCCTGTTTAAGAGTTTTTATTTTATTGCTATACCATAATTTATTTACTTCTCTCTAGACAGACATTTTTGTTGTTCCCATAATATTATGAATGAAACTGTTATAAAGATTGAATAAAATTATAAAACACTGCATTTCTTTGGTAAACACATAGGAATAGAATTTGTTCTGCATACTGAAGCAAATTTATTATTCATTCTTACAGTTGTTTTGGTCATTTGTATCTTTCAAAATTTGTCTAGTTCATCAAGGTTATCAAACATAATGGCCAACTTTGAATATTTTTGCCTTTTAATATTCATAAGATTTATAACATCCCTTCATGTATTCCTTTTCTGCAAATAGTGTCTTCCTTATTTCTTTTATTAATCTACCTACATGTTTGATCAACTGAACTTTGAAAACTTCTAATTAATTATCTCTTTCTCTTTTGCTTACTTAAATAGTTTTTAATCAGTCATCAAATTCCCGCTTCTGAATCACTATTTTAAGGAGGTGTTTCCAGCATCCAAGTCGAGTTCAATACTCTTTCTGCAATAATGAGTACTGACATTGTATTTGTGTGTTTCCTTGCCTGAATGCTTCTTTAAGAACAACATCCTATTCACTGGTGTGATGCTAATACTGAATGTGGTGACTTTTGAGTTAATCATTTCATTGTAATATATTTATATTTTCCAGATAAACAAAACACTTGTCTGAGTGAATCCCAAAGGGCACAGGTAGGACCCATAGTGGGCTATTCTCCCTACCATGTCTTCCTTGCTGAGAAACTTATCTTTCTATTAATTTAATAGAATGGATTTGTGTGTTGGGTGAGAAAAAATACAAATTGGAGATCAAAATAAGAAAAAAAATTGGCTTTAAGTGAAAAGGATTTAGTAAGTTTGAAATAGGGCATGATAATGGGTTAGCATTTGTAGGATTTTCAGAAATTATTCATTTCTAAAAATATAAAATACATTGAACTTTTTCCAAAAATTTTTAGCAAGAATATTTTGCAACAGGGAAGGTTGTTAGTAAGTAGTGTCCTAGGATTCCAAATAATCTAAATAATGTACAATGGGTTGTATTTTTTGAGAGCAACAATGAGTCTAATCTTATGGGAGGCAGACTAGACAAGATGCCACAACAGTGCCGCAGTCACAGTGAGGAAGCTTCCATTTACATAACAAGGCCAAACAAACAACGTTCAACTCATGAACTTTCACCTTAGACCTTCAAGTTATCTACGCTGAAGCTAAGCCATCACATGTTCTGGCATTTCCAAATAAAGAAGGTTCAAACTACGAGCTGGGACACAAATCAAGCAGAAATTTTTCTCCAGCTTGCAGATCTTGTCCTTTCTAAAAGGTTCTCCAGTTAGTTCCTGCCCCTGTACTTCGCCAAAGGGAAAGAAGACCACACAACTGATCTGCCGCTGCAGCTTTAAAAGAGAATCATCTGAAAAGCCAGAGCCTGCTCATCAATGTTATCCTTCTCTCTGCTTTTCTTTTCCATGTTTATAGCCACATATTTAACCATTTTTCTTCTTCCTCTATTCTTCTTATATTACCCAGCCTTCAGCACACTCTTTCATTTTACAAGCACAGAAAACAGAAAACATAGTTATTCCGCAAGAAAGCTTAGAAAGTGATGTACAATCCCTGTCATTCTTACCTGCCACACCTGCCCACTGTCCAAAGGCCACTACACGGATTCCTCTGTGATCCACCATTTTCTCATAATCAATAAGTCGGATATTCTGAGGAGGAGGGTAAAAAATTAATAATGGCTCAGCCAGACTCACTGAGCTCAATTTTGATGAATAAAACACAAATACAGACAAGTAAGTGATATATCATGACTTGCTAACAAGTTCTCATCAGGTGTAACATGAACTATATATTCACCAACCAGTTGTAGATTTGTAATGAGAGCTGATAGAATGGTGCTAGAATGTGCTAATACCCATTGATGGCAAGTAGTGAGATAGTCATAGCAGAATTTCTGCTCAGCATCATCTGCAAGTATTTCTGTGGTCCCACCCATCCTCACCATCTTCTGTCTGGTCCCAAAGCAAACAGATCCCACCTGATATTAATCACTGGGGGCAAACTTCAACAATTGTCTATATCCTCAGGACCACTCTTCTGGAACTATGAACTCTTTCCTGCACCATCCCTGTTTATACGGCTCTCCAGTCATTCTAATACCCCCATGTCTCTTCTCCCTGAAAATGGTAACACCTCTCAAGGTCAGACATCTTTCTCATTTCCACCCCTTTCCAAGATTCCACTTTCTCCATCTTTTTATAGGTAAGCTTCATTCAACTAATTTAATTAAACTGTTCACGCTGCATACATTCCTCTTCCTGAAATCACATACTTTTTCCTCTTTTTCCTCTTGGAGAATAGCTTAAATGCTATTGATACATTGAAATTATAGAGTGTCTTCTACACTCACTTTATTTCTTCAATGATCCTACTATTTGAGGTTGGGACACAAAACACATAAGTCATATGTTCAAGACACCCAGGTCTGATGTCTATCACTAAAAAACAAAATCTTGGGGATTTTTTTCATGCTTATGAACTTAAGAACAAATCTAACTCAGAGTAATTGGTTACAAATTGCTGCCAAAAAGCAGCCCTGCTGGGTCTGTTTTCATTAATTTTCTTGTAATGAGCAAAATTCATATAGCAAGAAGATCTCTAAAGTACTATTTAACAAGTTGATTGGCCTAAGGTGGAGTATTCTCCTGGTAATATGATTTTCATTAATTGCTTCTGAATCTCTTCTTCAGAAACATTGCAAATTGATGACTGCTTGGGTCTAGTGGATTTAGAAGTAAGACAGTATTCTGTTCTCCCATAGAAAATACATTTTATCCATTGTTTGTGAACTCCCCTATGCTCTTCCTGATTCTCAGACACTGTTCTGCTTCCAGTGTGATCACATCCCTACTCCAGGATGTGGACTATGGATGAATTTCCTTGTTCGGTAATGTCCTACACTCATCCAGTCTCATGACTGTCAAACTATCTACTCTCTTACAGAGACCACAGTATTTGACAGGAGCTGCCTTCTTGTGCTGCAGACTCATATCCAGCAGCTCACTGGGCTTCTCCCCTCCCTTCCTATGGGCACATTAAACCTCAGACTACTCTTCTTACAGTAGCAGCATCTCAGTCTATGGCAGCCCTTCTAATCACTCAGGCTCTCAGCCTTAGTCATTGTTCACTCTTCTCAAACTCCACTTTCAGGTCAGCAGTGACTGTTGTATGATTCTCCTCCAGACATCCAGGATTCTCTTTGTGTCTCAGGTTCCACATCCACCACCTGGTTTGTGGCCTCGAGTCTAGAATGTTGGTTGTCTTCTGATTCATTTTTGACCCTCCCCCACTTCCACCTGCCAACTATACCTATCCACATGGTTGCTTTTGTATACAATTGGTTCTAACCGCCCACTCACAAAGCCCCTGGGGCCTTTGCATCGTCATTCTCTCTGCTTGGAAGACTCTTGGTAGACAGATGTGTCTCAACTGCCTTCAGAATTTTTGTTGAAATTCTACCTTGCCATGAAGCCTCCCTGACTTACCCCATCTTATCTATTCTAGAAGTTTTACCTCCCCGAATGGCTCACATTATTTTCACCACTTCCCAGACTTCCGAGTGACATATGAAATGTCTTTTCTGCTAGGGTGTAAACTCTCTGAAAACAGGGACAGTTCAATCTGCTTTTTTTTTTCATTGTAGGTTCTCAGCAGATATTTGCTGAAAGAACATTCTGTATTTTAAGTTGCTGTTAGTGACTTCATAGTATCTCTATCTCACAAAAATACATTGTGACTAATAAATATCATTTTAAAAGCTTCTTTAAGTCAATTCTGGCACCACAGACCTGTGTAACCTCAGTCATCTAGATTCATCTGAAAGATATGGTATTAGATCACAAATCCCTGTGATCACAGATTGCTTATTACAGATAATAGTTTTTCTCAGCTCTAAAATTCCACTTGGTAGTATCTATCCAATCATACTGGTAGATGGGTAAGTGTCGGAGGAAAAAGCAATCCCAGAACACAAAAGGATGAAATAGAAACTAGGCACTGGTGGCTCGGACTTGTAATCCTAGTAACTCAGGAGGCTGAGATATAAAGATCACAGTTAGAAGCCAGCCCAGCAAGAATGTCTATGAAACTCTTATCTCCAATTAACCACCACACCAAAAAGCCAGAAATGGAGCTGTGGCTCAACTGGTAGAGCACTAACTTTGAGCTAAAAAGCTCAAGGAGAGTGACCAGGTCGGGAGTTCAAGTCCCAGGACTGGCACACACACACACACACACACACACACACACGGATTTTATTACAAACTCCAAACCTGCAGAGGAAGAGCAGAGCCATTTAGGTTCTTCCTCTGATGTCCTCTCTCCTAAGAAGTGAGCAATATATCATGTTTTCCAGATAATAAATAAGATCTAAACTCTAATATGAACATATTTTTCTATATTAATAGTGAATACTGGTTGTCAATTACCTGTTTTAGAACCTCATCCAACAAGCTCATATTGGCCTCCTGTGCTTTTATTGTATGAGAGAAGAATGCATATGTTTTCTTGGACATCAATTTTTCCTCTGGAGGCCTTTTAACTCCTAAAATCAGACAGGCTTCAGATATATCCTCTTGAAGAATGCCTCCAGCTTTGACATATTCCTGGGAATGCAATTTTGGTTAGAATTATTTCCCTGACTTATGGTATGCATGATTTTTCTAATAAAAAAGTAGTAAATAACACCACAAATCTTTTGAAAGAATTAAATGTGTATAGATTAGAACAAATAATTGAAAAGCTACTTTCAATATTTATACCCCTTGGCTAAAGGTAAATATATTATATTTGACTTGTGTAGCAAAAAATTACAAAATTTAGTATCTATCCCTATTTAAGAACAAATTATACTTTGACCACAAACCTTGTGGTTTTCATATATTTAGAGAATCTGTATTTCATGTTAACAGTACACTAAAACATTAAATTTCAGATAATATTTTAATAGACAGGATATAACTCCAAGTCTATTTTTACTTTATTTTGGAGCTTTCTCAATTAGCACATATTACTGTTCTAATCGATGCAGTGGAGTGTGCTAGGAATCAGATGATAAGACTCAAAGAAAGACAGACAAGATCTTAAGGAGCTCATATAGAAAGATATCACAGCACAACAAATAAAGCCAAGTTCAAAAGTGTATTATGATCAGGAGAATCTGAGTGACATATTAGTCTAATATATATTGAGATACTTATCAGGTAGAACAGGAAAAGAAGTAGAGAAATTGATTTCTAAAGGTGAGATGGGCTGTGGAGAGATAAGAGATGGAAAGTGTAAGGTGGTAATTTCGGCAGGAAGCATAGCTGGCATGTGGAAGAAGGAAAGGAAGGAGATGTTTAAAGCATATGAATAAATCAAATTAGAAAAGCAGACTGAAGCTGGGAGCCGGTGGCTCACACCTGTAATCCTAGCTACTCCGGAGACTGAAATCTGAGGGTCATGGTTCAAAACCAGCCTGAAAAGTCCATGAGACTCTTATTTCCAATAAACCACTAGAAAATCGGAAGTGGCGCTGTGGCTTAAGCAGTAGAGTGCTTGCCTTGAGCTGAAGAGTGCAGGGAGAATGCTCAGGCCCAGAGTTCAAGCCCCATGACCAACAACAAAAAAAAAAAAGAAAGAAAGAAAGAAAAAAGAAAAGTAGACTGAATAGCATTGTGGCTAATATGGTTCTGTTTGCAAGTGAATTGCAATAATAATAGTTGATACTTGATCACAAATTTCTGTGTTTTAAAATAAGCTCTTTGCATAAATTATCTCATTTAATTCTTGCAAAACACCTATGAGGTAGGTATAATTTTGTTAATAGGGAATCTGAAGCTCATGTGTTTAACCAAGAAGGCATAGTAAGTACATGAAAGAAAGATATAGTCATATAAGATTTTAAATCAAAGAGTTGCATAGCCCTGGGAGAATTTTTTTAAAAAACTACCTATAGTACCAATTAAATGAAATAAATCTAGTTCAAAATTTACTTCCAAGGAAAGCATAGATGAATTGACGTGATTAACACATAATTTCTATCTGGTTTCTTTGAAAATAGTCTATTTGCTCATTTATAGTAGATTGGTTAAGTAAATCATGGTAAACATATAAAATGCATTGTTTATCATCTAGTCACTGAACAGAATGAAACAAATCTGTATGAACTGAAATGGAACAATTTCCAGGATATGTGGTTGGCTGACCAAAGTTAGGAACTGACATATACATAGATATATGTGTATACACACGGTTTATATATACATACATATATATGTGCATGTAGTTATATAATAATGCACATACACACTCATATTAGAGTATCTATATTTTTATATATGAGTATATACTCATATACTCTCATGTATATGTTTACATATACTTTTTACTCAACAAATATACAAAGTACGAAAGCATATATATGATACATACCTTTATGTAAAAGAATAGGGAAAGTAAGAACATACATACAAATACTTACATGGGTATTTCTTTGCAAAAGAAATAGTAAGTCTTGGTCAAAAACTCAAGAAACCTTTCAGTCAGAAATGAAGATATAAGAGATTGGGTAAAGACAAGACAAATCTCTAAAATTTGAAAGTGCTATACTTACTTGAAAAATCAAAGACAAAAGAGATTAATAGCAAACATATTTGAACCTATGTGTATATAATTTCTCAAAGTGGCTGTCAAGAAACACCTTCAGGATAAAATCTACCCAAGAAAGCATCCCTGGGTGCAAAAATTGTTGTTGTAATTGACCTTTGTCTTCCTAGGCCCAGAAGTAGGGTGCAAATAGAGAAAAGGACTGAAAGACAGCAATTTCTCAAAGCAGTCCTTTAACCCTTACCTCGAGGCACACAAAAAAAAATAGAATGGATTGAAAATAACTTTCAAGGAAAGAAATCATATCAAAGCGACACCAGCTCATTTCATTTTCACTCCACGACTCCTTCCTTGTCATAAACAAGTTCATTTTCCTCACACTTATTTTAAAAGTTGGAAACTGTCACCTTGTCGTGAATGGCCCGCCGGTTGGAAGGCTGAATCAAGACCTTGTATCCCAGGTTGGTGATACCCTTGATGTGCTTGGGAGCCAGCGGTGCCCTCCTTTCCCAGGCGTTCACGTCCTCGCGCCGCAGCGCCATCACAGCTTTGTGGTGGAGGCCTCTGGAGAGGCTGGTCCTCAGCCTGATCAGGTTGGTTCTGTGGACTTGCCACATCTTGCAATCTGGTCACTGTGAAGGCAATATGTGACAGTCGGACAACAAAGGGGGGAAGGGCTCACACAACAGTTCTGGTCTCCATAGAAATCTGCTGTAAAATACAACCAACCCCATGATCATAGATATGAGATGTACAGAAGGACAGGAAAATCTTCATAGGACATGCACCTTTACCCAAACAAACCCAAGTTGCCAAAAATGAGCAAACATAGAGCAAGTCTGGTGACATCCTACAGTAATTACAAGATCCGCACAGCTTATTAGAGATGTTTTACCAAACATACACTCAGCACAAAAATGTGAGACAGCC